ACACACACACACACACACACACACACACACACACACACACACACACACACACACACACACACACACACACACACAGATACTGTCATGTTAAAATGTTTCATGCATTTGTAATGTGTAGGGCTGAGATAAACAGGGAAGAGAATGAAACGCACTTCTGGAAATTTCTTGGATGGAGATTGTCTTTTATGTTGGAACTTAATTCCCTCTGGGGGTTTGATGAGCTTCATATCCCTTTCAAAGATGAATTAATGTAGCCCTGACACACACACATTTCTTGTGTACATCTCCACCCTCCCCTTTTCTCCACCCAACCCCAATGTAATGCAGACACTGGCTTGTCTGCAGCACTATCTGTATGTGTGTGTGCGTGCTGGTGAAGGGGAGATCTTTGTGAGGCAGTGTGCCGGTCCCCTGTGTGTGTGGATGAGAGGGAGTGCGTAATCTGCAGCGGCGTGCTCGCCAGCTCCGCTTGCTGACAAAAAGGCATCTCTTCGTCTGCGTGGCGCTGCCCCTCTGACTCCTGCTCTCTCCTCTTCTCGCCTCTTCATCTCTTTTCTTTTTCCACTCTCTTTCTCTGCAGAAGCCGCTGCCTTGCCCCCTCCCCCTTGTGTCCTCTTTGCAGACAAAAAGCTGGAATAACTGCCCCACCAGGTAAGATGCTGTGTATTATATTATATAGTCCCTTTCTAGCTGCTTTTACAGCTACAAATGTGATGTGCATGCTCAGTATTATACAGGCTGGGGGAAAAAAGGAAAATTCTCAAGAGAAAAAGTGCCGGCTTTCTTTCTTTCTTCTTCTCCTCTTCCTTGTCTGATTGTGTGTATGATCTCTAATCAGCATCTCCCTGGGTATCATTCTCTTTTGTTTGGCACAGATTGAGAATATTTGCTGCTGACATATTCGAAGGACGGCGAATATGAAAAAAGTGATGCTGTGATAAGCCAGGGGCTGTTGTTCCTCTGGTTTGATGACCTTTAGTCTTTGTGACGTCCTCCGTCTAGACACCCCTGATTATTCAGCCACCACGGTTCACTCAGGGTGAGCTGCTGCTGCTGCTGTGTGCCTGTGTGTGCGAAACCGAGATAAAAGCCTGATCTTCTGATTTTTTTATACTTTATTTCACTTGGAAACAATGCTGATTGGGTTCTATTTAGAGGCTGTAGCTGTGATGGCATGCGGCCGTTGGCGGTTAGCGACTCATAGCCAACAGATTGTTGGTGGTTTCTCAGTGGGAGCGACACCAAGCCGAGCGAGACCGCGGGATGCATTACGCTGCCTGTCAGCGCCGGCTGAGCTGGCTGTCACAAGTTTGCTGACGGCTCGATCGACTTTTGGAGCAGGTGGCGATGTAGCGCCCTTTTTTTTCTCCCACTCAATCTTTTCTGTTTCTTTTTCCTTTCTTTTTGTCCTTTCTACTATTTATTCCTCCGCCTCCTGCTTTTATCTGTTTTGTTCTTTCGTGTTGTGGCACCATCCGAGGGGACAATAAACCACTCCATATTCACTTAGTAGTTAAACAAACTTCTAATAGTCTTAATCTCACCGTAAAGCACCAAATCTCTGTTTCTCTGTGTGTTGGTTTGTTTCTTTGTCCACAAACTCCTCCCATATCATTAAGAGTTGAGCAACCGATCTTGGCACACAGGTTCATCTTAAGACCAAGAAGGTTCTTATCTATATCAGATAAAATGAAGCCATCCTGTCGTTGAGCAACAGTCTGTTGTTTTTAGCATTTATGCACCTGTGAAAACATATTAAAGCATCCTATCCTTTTAAATTCACAACAATAACATTTGAATTATACCCACAAAAACTGCATTATGCATGAGAAATTATTACGCCTTCAAAGCAACTGACAAAAATGAACTGGTATTTTTTAAAACTAAACAACATCTACTATGCATTTCTTGCCAGCAGCACCAACAGGGCAGACAGTACTGTAACATGGGCGTGTAACGGCATGCACCGGTGTTTATATGTAAGAAGCCTTTTCCTCCCTTACTTTTTATAGTGGACAGTTGGCCTCGGGCAGGTTGCAGTATTCACTGTAAATGAAAGATGGACGTAGGCCTGTGACTCACATATTTATGTATATACAGTGGGGCAAAAAAGTATGTAGTCAGCCACCGATTGTGCAAGTTCCCCCACTTAAAATGATGACAGAGGTCAGTAATTTGCACCAGAGGTACACTTCAACTGTGAGAGACAGAATGTG